GTCAGTTCTCCAGCATCCAACCTGAAGCTCAAAAAGAAGATACCTCCTGCTGCTTCTTCTTTCTACTCACTCAGGTTGAACGGGATAATCCAAGAACAACAATAGACGCGAGCAACAAGCGAGAGAGACGGGGAGAAATAAGAAGGGGGAGGCGAGCACGAGGGCTGGTCCATCATCCGACCCTCAACCAGCCTTTTTCCACCTGCACAGCTGACTTGTCCCCCCGCTGCCTCTTCCCGCTGATAGGCCCACCATCACCCACTCGCAGCAGATCTGGTCGATCCGTGCCACCCCATTCACCCAAACAAAGAAGCCTAAGAAAGAAAAAGAAAAGAAGCAAAGCACATCATTCTGGTCATAGCCATTCATTAAATTGGTATGGTATGCTACCTAAATAAACAGGCACATAGCTCACTAGCTACCTAGCTAGCTAGCGTGACATAATGCAGACAACTTTTGGGGTACCAGAAACAGTGAGGAATAATGACAATAACCCCGGAACCATAACCCATTGCCCAAAACAAAAAGCAGTCTAGAAAAACATAGGTATACGTCGGTTAGTACTCTTACACACTGACTTAGAAGGTGACCTTGGTGCCCTTGTACTCGGGGATACCACCACGAGCCTTGTTGGGGGCACCACCACCGCGGCCACCGAAGCCACCACGGCCACGGCCACCACGGTCACCGAAACCGCCGCGACCACCGCCACGACCGCCGAAGCCGCCACGGCCACCACCGCGACCACCACCGCCGCCGCCGTTGTTGGCACGGGGAGTGCTGAAGTCCAGACGCACCGGGCGTCCGAGCAGGTCAGCACCCTGGAGCTCGTTGAAGGCAGCGCGGGCCTCGTCGACGGAGGAGTACTGGACGTAGCCGAAACCCTTGGGGCGGCCAGAGTCGGGGTCGGTGGGCAGACGGATACCGAGGATGCTACCCTTCTCACCGAACAGCTCGCCGACGGAGTCCTCGTTGGCGTCGAAGGGAAGGTTTCCGACGAAGAGGGTGTCACTCTCGGGGCTGGCCTGGTCACCGAAGGAACGGGCACGAGCGTTGGCGCGGTCCTTGAAACCACCCTGCTGGTCCTTGTTGGCGGGACGGCCAGTGGCATAGTCCAGGTTGATGACACGTCCGTCGATCTCAGCGCCCTTCTTAGCCTCGAAAGCCTTGGCGGCATCAACGGCGTTGGTGTACTCAACGTAACCGAAACTAAAAGAGTTTAGCAATGGCTTGATGAATGTGGAAGACGAAAAAACTCACCCACGAGAGCGGCCAGTGTCACGCTCAGTCATGATACGAACACCGGAGAGCTCACCGAAGCTCTCGAACTCGGACTGGAGCCAGGCCTCATCGACGTTCCAGGACAGGTTACCGACGAACAGGTTGGCGGAAGCACCAGGAGCAGGGTCCTCAGTCTTGGACTTCTTGGGGGTAGCGGAGGTCTCCTCCTCAGCCTTACGCTTCTTGGAGGGCTTCTCGCTCTCCTCAGACTCGGAGTCAGAGTCGGAGTCGGAAGAGTCGGAGTCAGAGTCAGAAGAGTCGGAAGACTCCTGGGGACGTTAGCATCAAACTATTGAGTGAAAGGGATGAACAGCATACCTTCTCAGCCTTCTTCTCCTTGGTCTCCTCCTCGCTCTCAGAGTCAGAGTCGGAGTCAGAGTCGCTCTCGCTGGACTCCTTCTTGGCGGCCTTCTTGGGGGCCTCCTCCTCAGACTCAGAGTCGGAGTCAGAGTCAGAAGACTCAGACTCGGACTCGGCCTTCTTGGTCTCCTTCTTAGCAGGCTTCTCATCCTCGGACTCGGAGTCAGAGTCGGAAGACTCAGACTCAGAGTCGCTGGACTCAGCCTTCTTGGCAGCCTTCTTGGGCTCCTCCTTGGTCTTCTTGGCAGGCTTCTCCTCCTCGCTCTCGCTGCTAGAGGCGTCGTTCATCTCCTCATCGCTGTCAGAGTCGGAAGACTCAGACTCGGACTCGGAAGACTCGGACTCGGACTCAACCTTCTTGCCCTTCTTCTCGGTCTTCTTGGCGGGCTTCTCGTCCTCACTCTCGCTGCTGGAGCTGGAGTCGGAGGCCATCTCCTCGTCGCTGTCGGACTCGGACTCGGAAGACTCGCTGGGAGTAGGCTCCTTCTTCTTCTTCTTGTCCTTCTTCTCCTTGGAGGCAACCTCACGAGCAATCTGCTTGCTCTTGGCCTTGGGGGACTGGGAGGACTTGGTCACACCAGCAGACTTGACCTTGCTAAGGGTCTTGTCAACCGGCTTCTCAGAGCCCTTCTTGGTAACGGACTTGGTCTTGGACATTTTGATCTGAAGGGAACAGTGGTTAGTCCAAGAGATAACAGACAAGAGTAATAGGAAGAAGGGGAGAGACGAACCAAATAAACTGTAAACTAAGCAAGTATACAGAGAAAAGCTAGGAATGTGCGGCAGATCTTATAATCCCACAATCACCCGATTTGTAATGGAAATTTTCAAATACCCACAGGTAACCCACAACGACAGTGTCTAAGCCCACACGAGACGACAGGGAAGCTACCGTCTATGATATGAAACCCACGAGAGTATCCCACAGATCCCACAGAATAGATGTAGTATGCTACAGCCCACAGCCCTCAATGCAAGAAGCCCACAGAGTGTCTGTTGAAGCGCACCGTTAGATATGCAATGAAATAGATGAACACTTAGTTGATGAGACAACCAAGTGAAGAAGAGTGATAAAAAATGATGGAAAAAGGTGAAGGGGAAGGGTAGGACAGGAATGAAGGAAGAAGAAAAAAATCCCAGCTGGGGAGCAGCTCTGATAAGGCGACTGAACGCAAAAAAAATTTGGAGGCTGGCAGAAAAAAATCAACTTTACCTACCGCCTGCTGCAGCTAGGCTAGCTCAGGAACTAAGTGGGGAACTCAGCTGGGAGACTAACCCGACTGGGCCCGACTCCGACCGGGCTTCTCATTGGTCCACCAGCAGACCGTTGGAACCAGAGTGTCCCTCCGCAGTCAACCACATCCAGCCAGTCCACTAACTATCGACTCCAACTACTTGTCATTCCTTTGGACCTGTCACGGTTGCTCGACATTTATACGCAGTCAATGGAACTCTTTTGAATCGGTCCATTGCTCGTGAATCATGGCACCTCCTCCGTCCTCTTACCGTCCGCGGAAGAAGAGAAAGCTTCCCTCGTCTTTCGCCGGCTCTAACAATTCTCTCATTGTTGTCGCTGGAGGGAAAGCCTCCCCAGCTTTCCCATTGGTGTCATTCCTCTGGTCCGCTCGCGCTGGTGTCTCACAATGGCTCGTGCTACCCTTGATATTGATGGCAGTGGGATTGTTTCGCTGGGCTGTCAGTTTGTGGGGATATTCTGGTACGCAAATCACTGCCGTCTCCTATACCCAGGCGCCACATACTAACTGTCACAGGCTTCGGAGTACCCCCTATGCATGGTGACTTTGAAGCACAGAGGCATTGGATGGAGATCACGACTCATCTACCCATTTCCAAATGGTACCTGTACGATCTGCAATACTGGGGTTTGGACTACCCGCCGTTGACTGCATACCACAGCTGGTTGCTTGGAAAACTGTACGTCATGCTGCTCCAATTGGTCGTGGTTATAGACTGACTGAACAGTGGTTCTCTCTTTGATCCCACATGGTTTGCCCTGGACCAGTCCCGTGGCATCGAAGATCCCTTGTTGAAGGTGTTCATGCGCGGAACAGTGATTGCTTCGGAATACCTTGTCTACATCCCGGCCGTCGTTACCTTCCTGCGCCGCTTCACTCGCATGCAGAGCGTTCCGGTTTGGTCTGCTTCAATTGCCCTCACTGCGATCCTCCTACAGCCTGCGACCATCCTCATTGACCACGGACACTTCCAATATAACACGGTGATGCTGGGTCTGGTTGTTGCGAGCTTGGATGCCATCTTGGCTGGACGCATGCTATGGGCCTGCATCTTCTTCGTGGGTGCTCTTGGTTTCAAGCAGATGGCCTTGTACTATGCTCCGGTCATGTTCGCCTTCCTTCTCGGTGTCTGCATCTTCCCCAAGATCCGTTTCCTCCGTCTCATCAGCATTTCTCTTGTCACCCTCGTTGCATTTGCTGTCCTGCTTGCTCCGATGCTTATCGGGGCGATTGGTATTGAGGCGCAAGCAGCTCTGGCATTTGCCCCTCCGCCTCCGCTTTTGCAGATCCTCCCGGTCGAGCTGGACAAGAGTTCAGTGCTTTATGCAGTCATCTTCCAGCTGACTCAAATTATCCACCGCGTCTTTCCCTTTGCTCGCGGTCTGTTCGAGGACAAGGTTGCTAACGCGTGGTGTGCCATCCATACGTTTTACAAGCTTCACCGCTTTGAGGCTACTCTGCTCCAACGCATGTCCCTTGGAGCGACGCTGGCATCCATTGCTGTCCCCTGCGCCATCATCTTCCGTCACCCGCGTGCATCGCTCCTTCTCCCAGTCCTGTCAAGTGTGGCCTGGGGCTTCTTCTTGTTCTCATTCCAGGTTCATGAGAAGAGTGTTCTCCTTCCCTTGCTCCCCATGACTCTTCTCCTGGCTGGAGATGGCGGACTAAGTAAAGAGACTCGGGCCTGGGTGGGCTGGGCCAACATGCTTGGCTCGTGGACCATGTATCCTCTTCTGCAGCGTGACGAACTTCGGATTCCCTACTTCGTTATGACATTGCTTTGGGCCTACCTGTTGGGACTCCCTCCAACTTCGTTTGGAACATTCCGCCGCCGTGCCTCTTTGGAAGACACCACCCCGGGCGCCGAGCTTCATGTGCTGACCAAACTTTTGCACGCCTGCTTCTACCTTGCTATGATTGCATGGCACGTTCTCGAAGCCTTCGTGGCACCCCCTCCTGGCAAGCCAGATCTGTGGGTGGTACTGAATGCCCTCATCGGTGCTGGAGGATTTGGAATTGCATATCTGTGGTGTCTCTGGAAGCTGATTCAGCAGTGCCGCAGGATCGACCAGAAGGCAGCCGAGGAAACGGAGAAGAAGAACCAGTGAGGTTGCTGGCGGTGATTTCCTTTCATAGTCTACTTGATTCTCTCGTGATACCCATTTTGATGTTCGGGACTGCCTTGGGCAGATCTTATCGGCGATAGACTGCGAGTTGTGCTTCTTGCGCCTGGCAGAGACAAAAGCGGTTGCTTAAGCCTTCTCTTCTTACAATATTCCCAGAACATAAAAACATAGATAATATACATTCATTGCACAAGAAGGGAGATGCTCCACGTCGGACGATGACCTATATAATACATGTAACCCAAAATAAACCCATAACCGAACACCATATTTGCATGCGCTGAACTCTATGTATCATCCTCGTTGTGCAGCTGTCCCGGCAGCAGTCGGATATGGTGCAGCTTAGACCTTGAAGCCGTAGCCAGCCATGCAGGCCTTGTACTGCTCGATCAAGGGCTTGCACTCCTGTGTGGGGTCGTCGGTCTTGGAGAAGAGCATGCAGTCATCGCGGGCGGTCTTTTCAGTCTTGCAAACGCAGCATGGCTGTGACTGGGTTAGGACATTCCGGAATGATTGTCTGTGTCGCATGGTCATGAGCGTACCTTGGGCTTTTCCGCGGGCGCCGACTCGGCAGGAGCAGGGGCAGCAGCCTTCTCAGCTGTTGTCAGGGAGAATTGTCAGCTCTAAATGACTCCGATATACTAGCGAGACCAAGAGGTATGGAGCATGCGGCGAGCATGGATGGGAGATACATACTGTTGGAGGAACCGAACAACCACGACATGATGAAGAATTAAATCTAAATAAAGAAACAGACTCAGTGAAGGACAATGGACAGAGAGCGACAGGATTGACGATGAAAGCGAAGAGCAGTCGGAGGCAGAGCAAGACGAAAAGATGCTGAATAATGATGCGATTGCCCGGAAACGGCGGAGATGGTGTCTGCAGTTGGCCGGAGCGGCGGTCGGGGAAAATTTATGGGAACAAACGGAAATAATTGGGTTGTCAGGGGAATGCTGCATCACGGCCCGCTGCTTCATCAAGCCTTTCTTTCTTTCTTCACTTTTTGCCCCTCCACGGTCGCATTGCCTCCCACGCTCATTGTCTTTGCTTTTCCTGCTACTCTTCAGCCGTTGCTTACCAGGACCTCCATCGAGTCCTACTACTTTGATTCTTTTGCACCCTTTCTGCATCGCACTCTGCAATTCCACCCCTGAAATTTACCCCACCATGGCCCCTCCAAAGGTCTTCTCTATCGAGGGCAAAGGCCTCAAGCTCGATTCCGCTGAGGATATCGAGTCTCACATCAAGCCTCTTCTCGAAGCCACCGACTACACTGAGATCCGCTTCGGAGGCAACACTCTGGGTGTTCCTGCTTGCGAGCGTCTCGCCGCTGTGCTTTCTACGCAAAAGAGCCTCGAAGTGGCTGAACTTGCCGACATCTTCACCTCTCGTCTGCTGAGCGAAATCCCCGACGCTCTGACCTTCCTCCTTAATGCCCTTCTCGAAATCACCACCCTCCACACCGTCAACCTCTCCGATAATGCCTTCGGCGCCAACACCCAGAAGCCCCTCGTCGACTTCCTTGCTCGCCACACCCCGCTCCGCCACCTGATCCTTAACAACAACGGCATGGGCCCCGAGGCTGGTTCGAACATCGCAAAGGCGCTCACAGAGCTGGCTCAGCGCAAGGAGGAGGCCCGCAAGGAGGGCAAGGAGGTGCCTCTTCTCGAGAGCATCGTCTGCGGTCGCAATCGCTTGGAGAACGGCAGTATGGCGGCTTGGGCACGTGCCTACGAGGTGCACGCTGCCGGCATGCGCTCCGTCAAGATGACACAGAACGGTATCCGTCAGGAGGGTATCTCGATGCTGTTGAAGGATGGTCTTCGTCACTGCTCTGCTCTGGAGGTTCTCGACCTGCAGGACAACACTTTCACCATCATGGGCTCCACCGCTCTTGCTGGTGTGGTGTCCAGCTGGCCCTCTCTCCGTGAGCTGGGTGTCAGCGACTGCTTGCTGTCCGGCCGTGGTGGCGTCAAGGTCGCTCAGGCTCTGGCTGAGGCCAAGAACCAGAAGGTCCAGACGCTGCGTCTGCAGTACAACGAGATCACCGCCGAGGGTGTCAAGCAGTTCCTGCACGCCACCAAGACTGCTCTTCCTGCCCTGCGTCGCATTGAGCTGAACGGTAACATCTTCAACGAGGATGACAACAACGTGACGGAACTGCGCGAGATCCTGGAGGCCCGTCAGGAGGAGCACGGCCAGGACGATGACCCGGAGGACATGTGGGGTGTCGACGAGCTGGACGAACTTGAGGAGGAGGAGAGCGAGGAAGAGGAGGAAGAAGAGGAGGAGGAAGAGGAAGAGAAGGCCGAGAAGCTTGTCAAGGACGACGAGGCGGCCGAGAACGAAAAGGTCTCTCAGAAGAAGGACGACGATGTCGACAAGCTTGCCGACGTGTTGGGCAAGACTGGTCTGTAGACGCGTCGGGGCTTTTTGGTCACATTCTTACCTCGCCCATCCCCTATTCCCATTTTGTCGCCTCGGTGCAACGGCAGTGACTTCTCGCGTGGCAAGAGCTGGATGCATGGTCGTCTAAACGTGTCAGGCCCAGACTGACCGCGTCCGGTCTGCATGTGGCCGGCAGGAGACTTTGGAGACGAGTTCCTAATCCAGCCAGAGCACGCGCCTGGTGAAACTGGCTGTTATCTGCCGGGAGGTGTCCTCGCCCCTTGGATAGAAGCAGTGCTTTGCTTTGAGCTTTGATGTTGCCCTATCAGCGATATGCGTTGAGGGTTAGACGTAGACACGAGCCTTGCCCTTTGCTGATCACAACATGTTACTGCCCGTGATGTATATAACGTTTCAACGAATGATGTGCATAGCTATGATGAGTTGCAGAGTACGGAGTAGAGGAGTGGCAGTAGAAGAGTCGGTGTAAGTCAAGCCGTGCCACACCACACTAGCACAGTATTGGACTTGGCTATCTTAGTCTTTCTAGAAGTGTCTATCACTATCTACATCCATTGATATATAGAAATAAGATATGTTGATATCCACTGATCCATTTAGATTGCATCTGGCGATACTCTCACTGCAGCCTAAGGCACCAAAGCGTCACCTGCACGTCACCTGAGATGAGATGAGCCTCCAACAAACATCCACCTTTACAGCTTACTGTAATCTTTGTCCTCTAGTTATGCTACATCTCCTCAAGCAGAATCCCGACTAGTATACCCGATTCAATGGATCCCTACTAACCACGAACCCCTCCCCTCCCTTCTCCCACCATACACCAACACCATCTTCCCACATCCCGCTTAAACCCAACACCATTCATTCATCCCATCTAAACCACCCCCATAATAAACATCCAAACACACACAAACAAACCCAAAGCAAGATGTCCGCCTCCTCCCTCGTAGCCCTCGACTCCCTCGAGGCCACCATCCTCATCGACAACGACCTGGACCCCATGTCCCCCACCCCGCCAGATACAGTAGAAGTGACCGGTCTAATGCGCACGCTAGCAACATCCTCTCCGCACGATGTCCACGACAGGGGCGATGCGCATAAGGAGCTTCAAATGGAGGATATATGCTGTTCTGCGCATGGCTTGTCGATTCTTGTGGTTCGTTATACCCTTCCCATCCCCCTTTCTCCCCTAGGATCTTATAATGAGTGTTGGAAGCTGAGAAGAACCCCAGACCGCAACAAAAGATAACAAACAGCACACGATCCTCTTCGACGCCGGACCTGAAGGCGACGCCTGGGAGAGGAACGTTAAGCGGCTACGGCCGGATTTGGCGGACGTGGAGGTCGTGCAGTTGTCGCATTGGCATCGGGATCATTCTGGTAGGTTTTTACTTCGTCCATTGAGATAAAGGGTGGTGTGTGCTAAAGTGTGGTATAGGTGGTCTTCAACGAGCCATTGAGATGATTACAGATGCTAAGACGCAGAAAGCCGATGGGAATTCCTCTGCGACGGTAGTTGATCTTCACCCTGATCGACCGGATTACAGAGGCATGGCTATCGGCCAGAATATCATCTCGCTGCAGGCTGATCCTACTTTTGAGGAACTAGAAGCTGCCGGAGGCACGGTGCAGAAACATGCTGATGCGCATACCGTTCTCGATAATTTCTTCTTCATCTCGGGGGAAATTCCTCGACGGACGGGGTATGAGCATGGATTGAAGGGTGGGATGAGGTTCGATGCGGAAGAGAAGGATTGGTTCTCGGATGAGGGGATTGCGGATGAGAGGTTCTTGATGTGTAGGCTTAAGGGTATGTCAGTTCCTTTGGATCGATGTGCTGTGGCTGATTGGTTTATTCAGACAAAGGCATCGTCATGTTCACGGCGTGCAGTCATGCTGGGGTGGTTAATTGTGCCCAGTATGCGGTGGATTCGCTGGACGGCGAGGTCCCTCTACATGCTATTGTTGGCGGCTTTCATCTTGCTACTAGTGAGGCGTCGCAGTTGGAGAGTACCGTTAGGGATCTGAAGAAGTTGGATCCCGCGGTTATTCTTCCGGGGCATTGCTCGGGGTGGAGGGCTAAGTTTGCGATTGAGAGGAGTATGCCGGGGGCGATGGTGCCTTGTTCGGTGGGGATGAAGATTAAATTCTAGGTAACTTACAGTTTCGCTGGGTTTATTGTCATGATGGATGTTGTTCTTGGGAAGATGCTAGTCTGGCTGTGTCTATCCAAGACAACTGCTGCGACAATGCTCAGTCGAATAGTCATGCTATGGTGATGACTTGATGTGACTACGAGAACATCTGGGAGTCATTGTATGCTCATCGACCTGGTTAGTCTACCATGGTCGAGCTTGGAAGAGCATAATGGCGGCAGTCGTGCTACAATGTCAGTGACATACGCCTGTTCTCATGGAGGTTCGATATAAAACCACAGATTCCCACCGTGTTCGATTGAAAGTCTGTCTCGGATGTTATCGCGAACAGGATGATATCTCTCGCAAAAGATCCAAGGACTGCACCCTTCCATTTGGAGGATAACAATGGACATCCCAGTGACACCGTTGCATTGGCAGCCTTGGTATAGAACGAGATGTCACGGTGCACATGCTGGCGCGAGAGAGGAGTATCGAGGTATATATATATGGGGCCTATAAGTACTTGAACGTATGAGTATATATATATATATATATATATATATATATCAGCTCTGGCACGAAGTTGAGTCCGTCTGGATGAAATGATGCTGGGATTGTATATATATATCATTGCAGTTATAATATATACTATCTACTCACAACTACAACAACTCATAAAATCACCACTATTCCTCAACTATAACACACCACCGTAAACCTTCATCACACCTACAACTACAATAAACTCACACAACCAACCCAATTCCTCCATTCCACCGACCCGAACACCACCATCTGATCCATCCATCCATCCACCGCTCACCGACTGCAGTGTGATGATGATAGCACAGCATGACAGCACCACCCCTCAAGCACGCCAAAACTCAAAACCAAAGCCAAGTACCAGCCCAGCAATCCAGACCGGTACAAACCAAGGGACCAGAAGCAGGCTAGAATGGCTAGAAAGCAGCAGCATCATCATCACCCATCACTACGGCATACATGCATACATACTGCAATGCACATTCCATACCGCCAAGATTCCATCTCTATCTACTATGGGTTTAAATCTACGGATAGTACTTTGGAAGGGTTGTAACGTCATGCAATGCGGGAAGGAAAATATTGTAAGAGGTTGGGTAGGTAGGGTTATTGTGCATATACTTCTATCTACTGTACATGAAGATGAAGATGAGGAGAGGTGGTATGCAGAGGAGGGAATAGAGTTAGAGTTGGCTGGTTAGTTAGTTGGTTGGTTGAATTCGTGGTGGGTGGTGATTCGCTTGTATACTGCCTTACTCTTTGAGATTCTTTTTACTTCTGAGATAGGTCTGTTTGTTTCTGGAGGTAGAGATGTATGAATGAATGAATGAGGTTGGGGTATAGGCGCAGCTGTATGTATGTATGTATGTAGGAAGGAAATTAACATGTCGTGTAACGCCATCCATCCATTCACTATCAGTACTATCTAAGAAATACTGTAAGTATTCTATTCCCTCCCAGTCTTACCATACATACATACAAACATACTATACACATGCATCTACCCAGGTTTCTCATGCTGTATGACGTATCCCTACAGAACACAGCATGAAAGTGATGACGACCACTATATCTGCCAAGTATTCTATCCAATTCTCTAAGTGATTCCTCGTTAATCACTTCGTAGTTGTTTTACTCTTTTTACCATTTATGTAGATGCCTATAAACAACCCATCCATCAAACTCTATATTGAGTATATACTGTAGCCTACTAGTACTATACTAGTAGTATCATCTGATCAACCCTGCAGAAGGTTAACAACTACTACACTTCTCACTGTTGATCACCCGCGACTCAAACTTCAGGCTGTGCTGGGCTGTGCTATGCTGTGCTGTGATTGATGATGATGATCCCCCGTCCTTCCCCCTCTCCGCTGGCTGCATTACACTCTACAAGGGAGGAGAGGGGCGGTGCAGGAGACAGCAGATACGCCCCTTTGCCAAGAACAATAAAAAGGGAGGAATGCACGGCAGGGCTTGGCGGGGAGATAAGAGGGGGGAGAAGAAAGGGGTAACTTTTAGTAGTTTTTGTTTGTTTGTTTGTTAGTTTGGTATGGAGATGAACAGATGGGGTTGAATTAGTTAATTTACTTATGGTGTTGGTGGTGGTGATATGGGGTATGGGGTAAAAACTGGGTTGATGAACTGGTGGGAATGTATATTCATTATTCTTGTAGTATACCACTATAGATGGCCGGTTCTTTGTTGTATGGAATATAATCCTAGACAAAGACATTTTCACTGTGTCTTTCACTATTCTATTTACTTTCTTTTCTGTAAGCGAAACACGAAGTAAACGACATACTGTAGTAAGTAGTAACAACTCCCGCCAAGCTGCATCACCCGTCATCATCACCACCATCACCAACATAAACGTCAACACTACACCCAGACAAGTAACTCGTTGCACTGATAACAACAACAACCACCCAAAATCAAGTCGTTTTCATTACACTCTATAATTAGTAGGACTACAGACACTGCCTCGCTATCAACCGTGCACATCCCACCCTGGCAATTAATTATTCGCACATCAAAAAAGGGATGGGATGGATGATAGACAAAACCGCCAAGAAAAAGCCTTGCTGAAGCTGCACATCTCCCGCTTGGCGCAAAACAATCTGCATAACTATTGGCTTGGAAAGGGGGTAAACCTACTACTTACTACTGTAAGAGGGAGAGTCACGTTTTCGAGGGGCGGGTTAAGTTACTTATTTGTTTTTTGCTTTTTATTTCTTTAATTTTGCTTGGCTGTATGGAGTATTATTCGTGTGATAGTATATCTTGAGTTGTTCGGTTACTAGTAGTACGTAGTATCTCATTTTAAATATCGATTATACTTTCTACATTTCCTAATTTACAGCAGTGATAATTCTGATTTCTCGCTTAGATGCCATCTTGGCAAATGTAGATAGCCAGGGCAGAAAGGCAGCCAGCCAGCCAGCAAGCCAGCCCCCTGATGAACTGTCGATCTGATATCATCTTTCCACATCAGCATCACTCCGCACTCACCATCACATCAGGGATACGGATTATCCTGACGGGGATACTCACTCGGCAATTACTTCCTCAAGTTAACCTTATTTTACTTATTATGTTCACTTAAGTTCAAGAAAACTCTATCCATCCTGCCAAGTAGTAACTACTGTCTCACGACTTTTGTCCGTCGGACCCCCATACGAAACGGAGTCGGAGTATATTAGTATATCACATCAGACATACTTACTCCGTAGTCACGGACCAGAGTAGTAGTAAGTTGTCCATCTGACATCATATGCAAATACACATAGTTAACTACCTACCTAATTGATCGATTCTTCACGCATCTAGAAAACGGATAGTTATATCCGTAAAAACTCAAAACACCACCGATCTACATCATTATTATCCTTCCTCCCCTTTTAGATGATATGACTTCCATAATGTACGTATGTATAATCTCCGTCTATAATTTGTTCCATGTGGCTAGTACTGCAGCATTCATCTTTGTCCGTTCGATTAACCTGCCCTGTTTGGATATATGTATAAGGGTGGGTGTGGGTGTGGGTGTATCAGACAATGATCCGATAATTAAACTTCAAGTAGAACATGGCATGTGAGTCGAGGGTGGGATCATGATGGAGATGAGACAAGACAAGACAGTTACTAGAATAGTCGGTCAGATCATCGATACTTATTCTTCCTTGGGTATGATGTTGATCGATGGTACCTACTTCTGATTGATGCAAGAAGGGGTACCTACATATGTATTAAATAGAGGATGTAGGCACGGGATATATACTGAAACAGGGTGATGAGAATCAGGGTCGGAGCAGACTGCTGCTGCGGTGTGCTGCAGAGAGACATGAATGGTTGTTTTGTCTTGGATATACTACACCGTGACCTACTACTTACTACTACTGTCTACTGGCATACTTCTGTAGATTGTATATAGTACAAGTGTATATCACGGGGTGACCAAACCAGCACAAAAGTACTCAAATACATATAGCATAAACACCCAGGTACGGAGTACTTAATTAGACATAATAATCCATGCTGGTGATCCCTTGGCATCGATCCCATCACAGTCAAAGCTGTAGTCCACTACGAGATACTACTACGTCTGGCAACAAAGTTAAACATGTATCAGACACAAACCACCACACCCACTAGACATGAGACATCACCACTACTACAGTACGTATCCCTACCCAACCCTCTCCCTCATCAGACACGTCTCCTCCCAAAGCAACCCGGCAAATTTATTCCCTCACTTCAGCCTTACATCCCATCCATCACTTCACACACCCGACACTCTATTCCGGAAAAAATCTTCACACCCAACTTACAACATGGACAAGCGGTCCAGTACCACGGTTCATACCCGACAACATCCAACCATGGAAAAGGAGGGCAGCAGACTTTGGGGGAGAGGGATAAAGTAAAACGCCCTGAATGGGATGGATATGGACGGGCGAATGTATGATTGGAGGGTACTTAGGGGGGGGGGTAAACCAAACTCTGGTGGTGTCTTTGTCTCCAAAACGGCGCGCCCGTGCCGATTCCCGTGTCGCGTAGTTAGCCCAGACCCGTTAGCAGTAGTTTTACCACCCAGTAAAATAATAGTAGAACTTCGGCGACCCTGACTACTTACTGAGTGGGAAGGGCCGAATATGCCGAGGAGAAAGGCCGACAAGGCAAAACATGGGCATTTGCTCATACGCGCCGAGTTGAGGGATAATGGTGATTCCACCACCCACTCATTTGGGCCTAACTTACTTGGGGAGTCGTGTGCGTGATTGAGCGCATTTGCAGCGCAAATGGCGTTCCACTTCCCTCTCTCCCCCGGGTAGTGAGTTGAGGGTGGGCTTGTCAGCCCGGCAATCACTAAGTAACTAATCTCTTTTGTCTGGTGGGAGAGCTGCACGAGGAGGGGTAGCTAGTTAGTTACTTAGCTAGTAAGCTATTTGACACAGATAAGCTGGCTGGCTGTTGCGTTGCGAGTTCGGTATCCCTCCATCTTGTCCTGCCGATATCCGTTCCAGACCCGGTCGTTTTGGACTGTCCCATGTCTACTGATTGACTAACTATTGGGTTCTCGCTTCCACCAGGGTATTATTCCCTATCGGTAGCTAATTGTCTATGTTGCAGTAGTTGTCACCGGTCGGCCCATGATAGGCAGGGAGCGACCTGAAGCATCTAGTGCTATCGATCCGGCTTGCCGCGCGACCTTCTATCTAGTTGTATCTACCTAGTCCATCTAGTCTGGATATCTAGCTATGTCCGGAAAATAGCTCTCTGCATCGAAACTCTGCAGTCTAATTCTAGTTCTAACCAATTTCGCCGACCGTAGCTTACTTCCAAGACTGGCCAACAGCAAGTCGCCCAGGTACGGACGGGCAATAAATCCCCGAGTCGGGGAGGGCTCGGGCTAAACCCGATCCAAGCATACGCACAGCAGCCCGGAAGAATAACCAAGGGCAATTGCACTGCTACAAATCAACCAAACTAACTAACCGATTTATCGGAATCTGCTGGTCACTGGGCAGAAGCAGTTCTGCAAAGCACGGCGCGTCATCGATAGATGGTGGGTTGGCTGCCACGGTGGCACGCTGGGGCGCGCGCGTGCGGGTGCGGCATGGAAATGAGGTTAGAAAATCTCTCATACAAGCCAGCAAGTCTTCTCCGGAGGTGTCAAAAAGGTAAGGACGATAAAGCTCCTGCAGTAGCTCTTTAGTGGTTGTCGTCAGAGCGTTGGAGCTCGGCGAGGTTTGAGAAACGTACGCAGCCCAGCTAGCTGCTTTGTAGCTAGACTGGTATTGAGCTACTGAGGGTAATTGGAGCGGGCTAAAATTGCGCTGCTGCTGCTAATATCCAGCATCTGTTGCTGCTGGAGACGACGGCTGACCCGTTGACGAATGACGATGGCGCATCCTCGTACTCGATTGGGATCTCCGATGAACAGTCGGAGCTTCCTCCCGCCCGTGGGGGCAGGTACATACGTGTAGCTGTGAGTAGTCAATGGTCAAGTACTGTCCCCTCCCACTAAGTAACTGATTAGTCGTCATCATCGTACTGCCAATGCTGCAATAGCAATAGTATCTTCGATAGTATGATACTTTGCAGGAGGATAGGACTATCCATCGAACACAACACTTCTTGGTGCTCTTGGCAATGGTGCTGGCAGCACGAGCATCTCCATTTGCAAAGGCGTTGTGCGATCGATGTCCGCTACTGCAACAAGTACCTCGACCGCGGAGGTCCGATGCGCGACTGGGATGTTGGATGGAGGAGGGTGCTACTGCTGCTATCCTTGAACCTCGGGTGAACGAGGGCAGACCAGGGCCGACAGAAAATCCCTCACCAGGATCCTCGATGAGACAGCTTGGCACGGGCGATCGCCCGGTGGGGGGAAGGGAAGAGGAAAGACAGGCTCGCGGCGAGTTGGGACCGTAATTGGTATCATTATTGGGGGCCGCTAACTGTATTCGCAATTAACGTCGGTGAAGTGGGAGGAATTGGCCCCGTTACCGCGCTGAGTCGATGGAGTGACCAACTGACTAGCCGTCTAGTCTTGGTCACTACTGTAGGTACCAGAAAGCCAAGAACGAGCCTAGCGGTATCTAGTGGGTGCTCCACGGACGCCCGTGGTCGTGATCGCATTTTCGAGGTCATTTGTTCGTGCTGCTGCTTTCTTTATGCACCGACTGACGGAACAATTGCCATTGTGCCGAAACCTGTATTACCTAAGGTCGTATCTCTATCTGCAAGTAGTCTAGTAGGTGATGAAGAAAGAACATAGTAAAGATTACGAGGTGTAAGCCATGACTCTTGTCATACGCGCCAACACGCGCCGTCATCGTGCGGATAATTGTCTCACCCCCGTCATCTATACACGGCTCGTACGAGAGGGTCGGCCGAAACTGGTTTAGCACCCTTACGGGTAGCCGACCTTATCCCGAAGGGGAATTTCGTTGCCCCCATCCATTAGCCAACACACTGGCCTGACTGACTACTGACTGTGCTTTTGCAAGTCCCTCAAAGAAAGCCACCAAAAGTCGCATTAATTATTGGCAAATTGCCCCAGAGGCCAAAATCAATAATAAGGACAATCCCACCAACACTATGACTTTACCCGATTTCCCTATCGGACTGCCGATTATGACGTAGCACCCATTCCCCCCATCTCCCCGGTGGCCATGACCCCTCGACAAATCCCAATTCAGTGGCCAACAAACTCCCCTGCTGCCGACATCCGATGTGCCATGTCAGCCCCAGAAAAAATTCTCTGATCTCGAACCCTCACCCCAAAATTTCGGAGCGGCAAAAACCAAGAAGAATCGTCTGGACAAGGAAATGCAGCTAACTGGCTCCAAGGGCCCCAGTCGAAGCCTTCTAGAAAACGTCGAGAACGGCGAATCTGCGGGTTCGATGCGGTCAGAAGGTCCTTGTTGCCCCTCACTTTTTTGGGGCCTTGCATTCGGCTGGTCCGGTGGCGACCAGTCAGTCGAGTCCCAAGTCAGTCCTTCCCGACTGAGTATGGCGCTACTACTACTACTACTACTGAATACTACTGTGGACAAATCTTGGGCCCCTCCTCCAACAATCAATCAATCAATTGCCCTGATAAGCCCCATTACTAAGGTATTTTAGTCCGCGCTCGGGGAAGTGCGGGCTAGTCACTTAGTCTAACCCGTAGTGGGAGTTAGCCTCTTACTATCTACTCCGTACTCCGGTCTACTACTCCGGACTTTGGCAGTGGCGCGCCCGCACGGAATAGCCTCACTTTTTTCCATTTTGTATGGACTATGGCTCCATTGCGGGATATAATATCATGCACTATTGTGTGGTCATCCATCACTACGAGGCGACTTGTGACTGATTGATTTCTCCATATTTTCCTTTGTTCAGTCATGATGGACGCGGGGAGGGTCTCTCTCGGTCTCGGTCTTTCAACCCACACCGGCAATACCGATGACTGACCTTCTTTGACCGTTCTCGAAACCCTTTTTTCTTTCTTTGAATGCGATCATGCAGAATGCTTGCTTGCTGCTGGGTTGGCATCCCTCACGTGTCCCCTGTCTCCATGCGTTGTTATGTAGGGCTCCACGTCCGGAGTAAGTAGGTACGGTACGTAGCTCGATTCACCTTCCCGAAGGGAAGTCAGTCAATATCAGTATGGGTAGTTTAGTATCATCTAAGTAGATTAACTAGACGACGACGACGACGACAACGGACAACGCCATATCTCATTTCAGCCCAGCTGTCAGAGAACGGTTTCAACGAACAAAACAAAGATACCCTAACCAACCAACCAACTACGGAGAGACAGAACCAAATAACCTTACATTCAAACTTCAAACCCTGATACACAAAGGTGTCCCAAGCAAGTAAGAAAGAAACTCGAAACAACCCCAAACCCAAATATCGACAACGAAACGACACTACCACCAACGAACCAAGAGCGATTACCATCACCTCCCATCCTATGGTTCAGGGACAGACAGACGACAAGCGACAGCAGCCAGAACTGACATCCCGACGGAAAAACCTCACTCACTTCAACCCGTTCCACGGTTTGCATGTGTGGGGAATCTTTTTGCAACACACTTCGAGAAGTGTAAGGTACTTTCCCGACTAGGCGAGGTACCAGGTACTAGTGCGGTTTTAAAAACCAAATGGGTGGACGCACACACACAGGTCTCTCTTATTTCCACGCGCGCGCCCATACCACTCCGGTGAGTGGGTGGGTGGGTGTGTGTTCCACTTCGGCTAAGAAGGTAAGTAATCCTGGATTGGGACTAGTGTGACGGAGAATCCAGGTACTGGGTTTGCGGGTTTTTGGAACTCTGAATTATCCACTTTGGGGGGTTTTTTTATCTAAAAGTATCTCAATCTCTCTATCTAGTTAGTTAGGTTAGCTACAGTTAAGTTATATTCGTGGGATTATTATTATTATTTACTCTCCAAGTAATTTATCTATCTAGTCTAACTGTGTAGAGCGATGGAGAAATGAGTTTGGTTTAGTGTACTCCACGATAGCTACCTCTCACTGACTAAGTAGTTTACTACTGTTGGCCTTGGCCCTGACCTTTGGTCTGGTCTTGGCCTTTGGGGAAAATATGGGATGAGATGGATGGGGTAGATGGGACAGACAACACATAAGGGGGTGAATGAAAGTGTGGGATGTGGGATGACTTCCTTTCTTTCTCCATAGTAACTTAACGATTAGTCCCCTCAGCTGACCTCCCATCCCCCTTTCAACCCCAGAAATAGTAAGTAGTAGCATAGATACCTACGGAGGATCCTGTAGTTTGGTATTTTCCAGATGGCTGGGGGGAGTTTCGGTTTTCGAGTCTTGGCTGACGTGCGTGGGTTGTGTTTTTGTTTTGCATACCGACCCTGTCTTGCCTTGCCTTGCCTTGCCTTGCTGCCCCAGGTTCATGTTCAGGCCTACTACTAGCTAAGTTTCCCCCCTTATCCCTGTAATAATACCGGGCAACGGTGAGAATCCCCCGGAATTCTGATCACCATGGACTGCATCCGGGATGGTCATGATGATTTGGGGGCGGTTGGGTGGTGCACGGGCTGTACACGGTACTAATTGCGTATGTATGCTATCTAACTCATTACTCGAGGAGTTAGCTAATGGTAGTTACCACGTTACTATAGTGGTGACTAACAATGGTAGCATAAACGGGAATAGCATCATCATCACCATTACTACTACATACTCACCCACATTAATATGGAGTACCTTCCCATTCGTCAGGAACATAACCGCGACGGCGAAACTTCCCCCGTGAGGGAATCTCCCTATACCCTATCCATCCAGAATCATCATCCTACCTATCTAAGTAACTTGAATACCCAAACCGCGGAAACCGCTCAATCGGCCCCGTCGGGCGAGGCGAAACCAACCACCCACCCCCCATCTTCCTTCCCCCTAGCTAGTAACTGAACCTTACTAACCAACCTAAGTAACTAACTTAAACCCCGGTGTAAGTAGTAAGTAGCATCGGAACTACCATATCATATCTATCTGAATTAGGTATAACTCATCTTCCACCTCCTCCATCATTCATTCATTCATTTCGAACTCCGGAATTAAACTTCGGGCTTTTGTTGGCTTGCTTTGCTTTGCTTTGCTTTGGCCTAGGGTAAGTGAGTGAGCGTCACGGTGAGAGAATGCAGTAGATGAAGCGGGATTACCCTCCGTAGGTTAGTGAGGATGCTACAGTAAACTTGCATGTGGTTTTGAGTTAATTTTTATGGTAAGGTTAGAGGTAGAGTAGAGTGTTATTTTATTTCCCCGCGGCTGATCAGTTCAGTTCAGCTCAGCCCGGTTAGACCTTACCTAGCTGACCATTGATACAGTAAGTAGTAGATGGATAGATAGTAGTGTGATGTTCAGGTCATCGGAGCAAAGAGAGAGAAAACAGGATGGCATCCGATCCGCGTGAAAGGGAAAAAATCTCACTGACCCCATGCCATGCCATGGTTTCTCTTGCATGTGTACGGTCGCCTTTTCAGAGCTCTCTCATGTTGGTTGGGGATGGATGGATGGATGGTACGGCAACCATAATGTGATGTGATGGATGAATGGGGCGCGAGGCCGCCCGCCCGATGAAATACTTACCTACGGGAGTTGCAGTAAGTGTAGTAGTATTCTGCAGGTATGGTTGGGCGGATGGTCCTCCTCCACAAACATCATCGGGTTTAATCCCGCCCGCGTCTGGGGTTGGATGGATGGATGGATGAATGGATATGCGTTATTTGGTTCAGGGCTTTCTTTCGTTCGGACTTGGGTGGGAGCTGAGCGCGGGCGGTATCGATCGAGACCCGGTCGGGATGACGGTGAATCCCATCCCCATCATCCTACTGCTACTACTCAGCACGGAGTAAGTTGGGTGGCTTAAAGTTGAACCTTTTACATTCCGAAGCTTTTTTTGTGTTTGTTCAGAATAAGCAAATAGTTTCTATCGTCCGAGTAGTTGATAGGTTAGTACATAGTACTGTGTATATCCATCCCACTGATCTTCACATGGTATATAATAGATGGGGGTGAGGTAAGGCTGTATATTACAATAGAGTGGTCAATTTCGAGCCTCAAATTGATGGGGATATATATTATGGAGAATCCAAGTAAGTAGTAGGGATCATCGAAAGAATGATAGTCGAACCCATCAACTCCGAGATGCTATTCTACAACTAGTAGAGCCAGCCAAGAACAATTATCGCCAATGTTACTCCGTAGACACCATACGCAGTTGCATCACTCTGAATCGCCCACGTAGCGTAGCGGAAAGCCGAAGTACTGTCTACACTACCTACTAAGAATATCTACGGCGTTTGCTTGGAGATAAACCCCATCCGGATTCGGACAGCAGCAACTACTAACCAGCCCAACCACCGAAAAAGAATGTGGAGGAGAAAGGCAGAACAAGAATAAGAACAAGGATACCGTAACCCGACAACGGATCACCATCTTGGCAAAACTACCGAAAGGGCCAAAAACAAAATAGACTCATTAAGTATTATTACCTTGGGAGTGACTTGAGTCCAAGACAAGCCTTATGCGCGCTGAAAGCTTATGAAGTGCGGAGGAAGAAGTCACGAACATGGGAATTCCCTGTTTATCGGCGACACCATCATCAAACGGAAATAAAAAAAGTCTAATAGCGAGAAGGCACTGGAAAACAACTGGAACAATCATCGATGGATGAATGGATGGATGGTTTAGTTAGTATGTACGTTGTCAGGCGATCTGGGGCGCTGCGGCGGCGGCGCGCGCAGCGCCCGGACGCGGGCTACGTGGTTGTGGATTAATGCCGTGCATGCATGCATATCTTTCTTTCTCTTCTTTTCTTTTCTCTTGTCAGACAAGCCATTTTCCAATAATCACAAGTACTATGCAGTTTGTTCCCTTCCTTTCGGGACTTCCGTGGGTATCCCTGAGGGAGATAGATTGCTTTTCCTGGGAATTCCGGAGAGATCCTGATTTGTCTGGGCTGAGCTGGGCTGATGGGAAAATGGCGCGTTTCTTTTTTTACTGCTGCTACTACTAGTGGTTCGATTTGCTTTGCTTGATGGTATCGAATAGATAGATGGTCTGGGCTAACTACTCATTATCTGGAGAAGAAGCACGGGTAGAATCGGTGGAAGGAGGAGGGGAGAAGATTGGGCTGGCTGGTAAGGTTAACATGATAGACGCAACCAGTTGCATCCATCTGGAAGGGAAAACGATGTAAAAATCTTGGTTCGCTGGGGTCGTGGCCATGCATGCATGCTTCCCACATCCTTCCAAGCCAACCTGTCAACCAGATGGCGTCGTAGAAAAAACGCCCAGGAAAAAAATCGAAAATCGAAATCGAAATCGAATCGAGCAAGATTGGAAAAATGTCGCAACGTGCTCTGTACAATGGGCGGCGGCGGCAGCGGCAGCAGAAGCAGCAGCAGCAGCAGGGTTATCTGCGGAGACCATCTGGAACTGGGGTTTCGGTATGGTATGCGATCAGCCTTGGCCACAGATGAAGTCACCGTATATACGAAAACGACCAATGCCCAGACGAGGCTATTATGGCTACTATTGTTGTATCATGAAACTATATTGCTGCGCTCATTTCATTACTGCTGCTGCTGCTACTGCTGCTGCCAGACTTGGCTAATCAATAATGCGACGATAGCAGGGCCAAGAGTAAGGTAAGTAATCTTACTCACTTGATAGCAAGACCAGACCAATGATACGGGTCCCCCAGCAACAATGGGAGCAAATAATCCCAGACTGGAGACCCGAGTACCTAGTCGGCGGAGTCGCATCCCGACGTCAACCAGTCAGACAAAAATGACGCTCTCCGATGGAGCCCATGGCTCCCCACGAGAGGAAATCGGATGAAACTCAATCAGGGCTAGATGCATGGGATTGGCGCGCCGTAAATAAGGAGGGTGGAGAGCAGCACACCTTCCACTCCCCTCCCCCGTCGTCACACACTCACAGGATGGGATGGTTGGCAAATGGTGGACGATCGACTCCAGGTTGGCGTTAGTGCGAGATTGTGAGAAACAATCATCATCATAATAATAGCGATGGTAATATGAGAGGGACAAAGAGCGACAGAGAGCGAGAGAGGAAGAGAAGGAAGGGGGGGCCACAGCGAGGCGCGTGGGGACAAAGTCGGGAAGTGCGTAGGCGGAAGATAACGAAGGGTGCGATTCGCAATGGTAATTGCATGGTAATAATAATTATTATTATGGGATGTCAATCAAATCATCCCATCCATTCATCCATCCATCCCACCGATAACAAATGATCGCACAGGAGAAATAATCCTGATGACATAATTCTGGATTTGGATAAGGGAAGGGGCAGCTGTTTACTTTCTGTGTCGTGTGTACGGCTCATTCTGACCTAGATACCTACTTCCACTTACTTTCCTACTAACCCTCTACGGGGCCGCGCACCGGGCGGGCAATGGAGTCAGTTCCCGAGTCGGCACGATCATCACCACCATGAATTCATCATCATTTTACTTGCGCTTCATTTCCTGGTGTGTCCCCTCCCTCCCCGAGACACGGTCAATCGGCACCAGGAATGGGAACTTAAAACGGATCGTCTGACAGCACCGACCACGGCCACCTACGACATGCGATGATGTCAGTTAATTCCGTAGACTGAAGAAAGCATCGAAAGAATCGAAGAAAACGTAGTCAATCGTAGGGAGTAAGTAGACTATCTATCTAGCTAAATTGTTTTGACCCTGCATGGCCGGAAATGGTATCATCCAAGTTCTTGGAACTCGCCCCTTGCGTTCCCGTTTGGCTCAGCTCGTGGTTCCAAGATCGGGTAGGACGGCCCTGGCTCTGCTACTCTGTGGCACAGGGAAACCAGTCATTCCAGCGCTTCACGATCGGAGTATTTCGCAGCAAGTAAAAGAGAGACGCTGATTCATATCTTTAGTTGGTAAGTTAGTTATTTAGTTAGTTAACTAGGTAGTAGTTAGATAGTGTATGTATGTCTCGTCTGTAGCGGGCCTTGGTATTCCACAGATCATGTCCCTTTCTCCTCTCTTGTGGGCAGAAGAAAAGAAGAAGGGCAACGATCATTTCTTTTCTGCAAGGGAACTACTGAAACTATGAAGTCCGATGTCATCGCAGTGCGCCAGGTGCTACGGAGTACACAGAAGGAATATGCCAATGATTAACACATAGAGGGTCTGATAGTGTGTATGTGTGTTATGTATGTATGTATGTATGTATCCCCTTCTTTCTGTCTCCTTCTATCTACCCTTTAATTTTTTTGTTTCTTTTCTGTTGGCCTCGGCCAGACAATGCCGATTGACTTACCAACAAGCAAATAGCATGATTGGGATGGGATATTACTATTACTCTCATCAATTGCGAGGGTCAAAAGGCGACGAGAAAAAATCGCGCATAGTAAAGAGAGCGAGAGTAGGGAAAGGATCAGGAAAATTAACGAGGGCCACCACCCGCACGCGGCAAAAAGGCCTTTCACACGGTACAGTCCGTACGGTAAGGAATTCTTTTCCCAAGTGGAAAAAGAGAGCGCCCTGGGCTGGCCGAAAGGCCGACAGAGCCGTCCTCTGTCGGCTCTCGTACCCGTATCTTACCAGTAGCATACCTCAGGTCCATAGTGAACTCCGAGGAAATAGAGACAAGCTCCTCCCGACCAGTGTATCGGGTGCGTACGGGGAGTCCTCATCCTTCTTGTTCTCCCCAGGATTTACGGTAGGGGAACGAGCGAGAGTGGAGGAGGGAGGGGAGAGGGGGGGCGAACTCGGCACAGCGCTGCCGGTCATGGAGCAAAGCAACAAGAAGCCATTCAGCAAAAGATCGAGACAGACTGACTGGTAAAGGCGAACGGCGTAAGATGCCGTATCATTGGGTGACCGTCTGGGAATAGTCAGAGTTTTTCCACGGCCCAGACTAGGCCCGATCCGGGAGGTGGGATCCACTTGGCAAACTGGGCTGGGCAACCCAGACAAGGTAATGGAAGCGGGAAAATGAAAAACAAAAAATAAATAATCGTCTGAAATTCACTCGGCACTAGCGATGCGTCGGGTTAAGCAGAAAAATGTGTGTGCGTGGGAGGCAAAAAGCGGGTCCCAGTCACAACCTTACCTTACCAGGGACAGCGAACTTTCGATCAAGTGGCTACTGCTGCTCCCGGCCAAGACTAGACCGAGTTGGAGAAAATTAAATGAAGTAAAAAAGAAAATGAGAGAAAAAAGAAAATCGGAAAATCGGAAAATCAGAAAATAATAAAATGGAGGAAGGCGAAAAAAAAAAAAAGTGGGCTTACGCACAGGGAAGGTCGCCCGTTGGAGCTTAGAGAAGACAGACGTGTTTGTCTGGTCCCGTGCAATTGAAGGCTGCCCACCCCCAAATATTAAAGAGTACATTCCCTCCCTTCGCTCCCCTCTCTTCTTCTTCTCTTCTTCATAGGACTATCCGACTCTTGCCATTCCCGTCATTTTTTGTTTGCGTCTGCTCATATCGTTGGGTTCGAAGGCTGTGTGAGCCGTAGCAACAATGGCGGAGCGGAGGATTTCCTATGCTCCTGACGTGGAGAATGGTGACCATTCTCGCGCCCCTCAACTTGATGATGGTGCTGGTCTCGACGAGTATGCCGCTTTGAACCGTTACATCTCGACCGCCCCCGACAAGCGCCGCGGTTCGACTGCCAGTGCCGGTGGCGTGAGCGCCGGCAAGAAGAAGAAGGGCTTCTCCCTCTTCGGCAAGAAGGGTGATGGCGTGGAGGAAGGCTTCGTCTGCCCCGATGACTGGCTCGAGACCGACATGCGCTCCGGTCTGCGCTCCAGCGACATTGAGCCTCGTCGCAAGCGTACCGGCTGGAACGAGCTGACCACCGAGAAGACCAACTTCTTCGTTCAGTTCATTGGTTACTTCCGTGGTCCTATTCTTTATGGTAAGGCAATCGACTCTGACAGGACATGGCTGGGATACTAACAATGCTATAGTTATGGAATTGGCTGTCCTTCTTGCTGCTGGTCTTCGTGACTGGATCGATTTCGGTGTCATCATTGGTATTCTTATGCTTAACGCTATCGTCGGTTGGTACCAGGAGAAGCAGGCCGCCGACGTTGTCGCTTCCCTCAAGGGTGATATTGCTATGAAGGCCATCGTCATTCGTGATGGCCAGGAACAGGAAATCCTTGCCCGTGAACTGGTTACTGGTGATATTGTATGTTTATCCTCTGTCTTGTCAACTCTGTCAGCACTGTCTAACCTACTTTTCTATAGATCGTCGTCGAGGAAGGTACCGTCGTTCCCGCCGATATTCGCCTGATCTGTGACTACGACAAGCCCGAGAACTTCGAGACCTACAAGGAGTACCTCGCCACCGTTGGTGACGACACTCTTAAGGAGAAGGAGGATGAGGACGATGAGGATGGTGGCATTGAGGCCCGTGCCGGTGTCTCCCTTGTTGCCGTTGACCAGTCCGCCATCACTGGTGAATCTCTCGCTGTCGACAAGTACATGGCTGACACTTGCTACTACACCACTGGTTGCAAGCGTGGTAAGGCCTACGCTATTGTCACTGCCACCGCCCGCCACTCTTTCGTCGGTAAGACTGCTGCTCTCGTCCAGGGTGCCCAGGACCAGGGTCACTTCAAGGCTGTCATGGACAACATCGGTACCACCCTGCTCGTCCTTGTCATGTTCTGGATTCTCGCTGCCTGGATCGGTGGTTTCTACCGTCACCTCAAGATCGCTACCCCCGAGAACGAGGACCGCAACTTGCTCCACTACACCCTGATTCTCCTGATCATTGGTGTCCCCGTCGGTCTTCCCGTCGTCACTACCACCACCCTCGCTGTCGGTGCTGCCTACTTGGCTGAGCAGAAGGCTATCGTCCAGAAGCTCACTGCCATTGAGTCCCTTGCCGGTGTCGACATTCTCTGCTCTGACAAGACTGGTACCCTTACCGCCAACCAGCTCTCCATCCGTGAGCCCTACGTCAACGAGGGTGTCGATGTTAACTGGATGATGGCTGTCGCTGCCATTGCCTCCAACCACAACATCAAGAACCTCGACCCCATCGACAAGGTCACCATCATGACCCTCCGTCGCTACCCCAAGGCCCGTGAGATCCTCGCCCGCAACTGGGTCACCGAGAAGTACACTCCTTTCGACCCCGTCTCCAAGCGTATCACCACCATCTGTACCTGCGATGGTGTCCGCTACGTCTGCGCCAAGGGTGCCCCCAAGGCTATCCTCAACATGTCCCAGTGCTCTGAGGAGGAGGCCGACAAGTTCCGTGAGAAGGCTGCTGAGTTCGCTCGTCGTGGTTTCCGTTCCCTCGGTGTTGCCGTCCAGAAGGAGGGTGAGCCCTGGCAACTGCTGGGCATGTACCCCATGTTCGACCCCCCTCGTGAGGATACCGCCCACACCATCGCTGAGGCCCAGCACCTTGGTCTGTCCGTCAAGATGTTGACTGGTGATGCTCTTGCCATTGCGAAGGAAACCTGCAAGATGCTTGCTCTCTCTACCAAGGTCTACGACTCCGAGCGTCTGATCCACGGTGGTCTTGCTGGCTCTGCTCAGCACGACCTCGTTGAGAAGGCTGACGGTTTCGCTGAGGTCTTCCCCGAGCACAAGTACCAGGTCGTCGAGATGCTCCAGCAGCGTGGTCACTTGACTGCCATGACTGGTGACGGTGTCAACGATGCTCCCTCTCTCAAGAAGGCTGACTGTGGTATCGCTGTCGAGGGTTCCACTGAGGCCGCCCAGGCTGCCGCCGATATTGTCTTCCTTGCCCCCGGTCTGTCCACCATCGTCGATGCTATCAAGCTCGCCCGTCAGATCTTCCAGCGTATGAAGGCCTACATTCAGTACCGTATTGCTCTGTGTCTCCACCTTGAGGTCTACCTTGTCACCTCCATGATCATCATTGACGAGACCATCCGTGCCGATCTGATTGTCTTCATTGCCCTGTTCGCTGACTTGGCCACCATCGCCATTGCCTACGACAACGCCCACTACGAACAGCGCCCCGTCGAGTGGCAGCTGCCTAAGATCTGGGTTATCTCCGTCATCCTCGGTGTCCTTCTGGCCGCCGCTACCTGGATCATCCGTGCCTCCCTCTTCCTCACCAACGGTGGTATCATCCAGAACTTCGGTTCTCCCCAGGAAATCCTCTTCCTTGAGGTTGCCCTTACCGAGAACTGGCTCATCTTCGTCACCCGTGGTGGTAAGACCTGGCCCTCTTGGCAGCTGGTTGGCGCCATCTTCATTGTCGATGTGCTCGCCACCCTGTTCTGTGTCTTCGGCTGGCTCTCCGGCGACTACCTCCAGACCCACCCCGTTGACCGTGCCGACTTCTCCATCAACGGTGATGTCGACATTGTCACCGTCGTTGTTATCTGGGGTTACTCCATTGGTGTCACCATCATCATCGCTGTGGTGTACTACCTCCTTTCCAGCATCCCCTTCCTTGACAACCTTGGTCGCAAGACCCGCTCCCGCGCCGACACCCAGATCGAGAACCTGCTTGGCCACCTGTCCAAGCTGGCCATCGAGCACGAGGTCGACGCCCACGGCAAGAGCCGCTACATGTTGGGTGCTCGCGCCGAGGTCGAAGAGGATGAGTAAACGCTTGATTGCGCTCCTTAATACCATCCGACCTGGATATCACTTGCTGCGCATACATGCATGAGCTGGGATTCCGGCTACCCTTTTTACCCGTATTATAGACTTTTTTTTCCTTATTACCTTGTCTCTACTGATAGAGTCAATTTCTTTTCTTTTTACATGTATGTATGTCATTAATAGTGGTAAATTTAGTCAATCAAGGGTTCAATTAATACATCTTCCACTGTAACTACTTCATTATCCTCATTTACCAAACAAATCTTAGAAATCCACCGAATCAATAATCAAAGTGCGCCCACTGCCGACCACTTAGCCGAACCAAACCAAACCAAACCACCTCAGCCCTGACCTGACCTGACCTACACCACGGTCCACCCATCGGACCAAGTTCTGGGTGTAGTGGACCCCGGTAAATTGGAGTCAGGGGCACCACTTCACTCACCATCTTCTCGGTTCCCGTTTCACCTGCGCCCGTTCGGATTCCGGCCGATAGCTAGACAGCCAGTTGCGTTGCACCTCACAGGCATTCATTCGGCCCTCGACACCGAACATACGTGTAAGAGAGAGCTTGAGTGGATCCGAGCTATTGAGTCGGGTCCGGACGAAATGAGATGAGACGAGACGAGAGGAGACTCGTATTGCGCCTATCAGTCGGCCTGTACCTGCCGAGTCAGTCGTCGAATAATTGGTCGGCTGGCTTGTTGAATACGTTTACGAGAGAGGCCGAGGTTGATGGTAGATTAGTAGATGATGATGGTGGTCTAAATGGCCTCGTGTCGATGGGGAGGTGTAATTTGCCGATGAATGGATGCGTTGATAGTGTGATGCACGGATGGTGGTTTGCGCTTTATTTGTGCACTGGTCTGGTGGTGGTCGCAGGTCTGTAGTTGGGGATGCGTATTGTGCTTGTGCAAGGTAGGCGTGCATTGCTGCTTTACTGGCTAAGGTTGGAGTTGTCCAGTTGGTGATGTTCGCTTTGGTGTCGTGATTCAGCTTTTAATTTAGTGCCTCAGGCTAGCGATCTCAGCAGCAATGAATGTCAGTTGCTCAGTGTGAGGAGGACTTGTCTCACTTCAGTCAGTCAATACACGAGTACTTATAACAAGCTTGGGGAATGGCTTTTTCCAGCAAACTTCTGTATCCGCCAATTGGCAGGGCATGAAAACCACTCACTAGCCTGTTTCCCATTGCTTTGAACAGCAGATTGAAGCTACTCGTATCGTTGGTCATGGTTTGAGAACACATGCGTCTGTCAGTTTAAGCTGGTGAGTAGCTATTGTTTCTGTGGATCAGGAGTCCTGAGTAACATTTGACTCTGAAGGTCTCTATAAGATTATCCTCGTCAAAGCCGGGAACTATCTTATGCTTCTCGTACACCCATAATTAGACTTGACTACATAGAACAAGTTATGCCATTGCTGCTAGCAACGCCGGAATCAATATTGGGACTAATATCTTGCTAGCATGAACTGACTCGGAGTCTCAATAAACTTGCGATCGGCTGTTAGGTATCGATAATGGCAGCTATTACTGAACAATGATACTTGTCCTGAGAGCAAGCGGCTACACGAGTTCACTGTGGCCTATATGGATGGCCATCGACTAACTGATGGCTTCTATCTGAGACAGCTACGGTTGCCATATGCAGATACAAGGCTGAAAACTGGCTATGTATTGACTGACGAAATGCTGGCACTTCTAGAACGTCAGCATGCTCCGAGTCGACTTTCGACGAGTGTATTGTCCTGTTCAGACATTGCTCATCTTTTAACTATTTAGAGACTATGGTATGATGGTAAGCTCTGGTGAAGGATTAGCCATCTTACGTGCTTAACATGCATACGACTTGCTGTATTCATGCTAAAGCATACTTGCAGACCAAGCATTTCTCTCGGAAGAAAAGTCGGCGGCATTACATCGGCTCAAGTCCACTACAAAGCTCCATGACAGACAAGCCTGACCAGCTCCAAAAAGCTTAGCCGTGATATAGCCCACACAGAATACTTCTCCCCGCACCATCGGACGAGCACACTGCATGAATGAGGGATTAAACATCACTTGACCAGATGTGCGGCTTCATAGCGCATCTATGAGATATCGGATCACCATGGCTGTCCGCGGAGCACCACCACGTCAAACAACTCACTAACTGACTGTGGAAGATACCCCCGACCAACATGGAGACAACATCATCCCAATCATGCATCTAACCCCAGAGCAAGTTCACTCCACCAACTGCAGTCCAACTGAACCCTATCCTTCAACCCGACAGGTGGAACGCAATTCTCCGGCGCCACCACATTTCTCCGGCCTCCGTCTGGGGAAGAAGGAACCCATGCATCATACGGTGATGCCATGATAGAATGCCAGTCTGGGGTAATAGACACCATGCAGAAGCTTGACTATCCCCGCATCCCCAGATTGCCCTGATGATCATATAAAATGGCCACAAAAATGAACAGGGTTCAATCCAAACACCAGCAAGCCAATTGCCTCTGCATCCCACACAATGCTCCTCTACGGCCTCCTGCTGGCCCTCCAGGCCATCCTAGCCTCCTCAGCAGCCATAACCTCTCCATCCTCAAACCATCTCTCAACCGCCGCTCGCGAGAAATGTCAAACAACCCTCCAATGCCCCCCGGGCACCATCATCGTCTCCAACACCAACGCCCACCCTGACATCTCCAACTTCACCACCCTCCAAGCAGCCATCAACGCCCTCCCCAACGACAACTCCTCCCAAACCATCCTCCTCCTCTCTGGCTCCTACAATGAACAAGTCAACATCACCCGCTCCGGCCCCATCACCCTCCTCGGCCAACAACCAGACCGCGCAGCCCTAACCGACCCGGCCCGCAACACCGTCAACCTCACCTTCGCCGGCGCCAACAGCGACAGCAGCGGCAACATCGACAACGTCTGGTTCAGCGTCATGGTCGTTGCCCCGACCCTGGACGCAAGTCTCACCGGCTCCGGCACAACAGGATACCCAGTGCCCGCGGACACCCCATTCGGGAATACCAACTTCCGCGTATACAACATCGACTTCCGCAACACCTACGCACCGTACTCTGCTGGTCCGGCGCACGCTATCAGCTTTAGTCGCTCCAACGGTGGCTTCTACTACTGCGGCTTCTACTCTTACCAAGACACAGTACATCTCCCCTCCCTCCCCCCTAACCCTCCCCCCCATTCCCAGTTACTAACAAAGAAATCCAGATCTACATCGGCAAACTCGGCTCCGCATACATGTACAAATCCATCCTAGCGGGCCAAACCGACTTCCTGTACGGCTTCGGCACACTCTTCATCCAATCCTCACAAATCATCCTGCGCTCCTGCGGCGGCGGCATCACGGCCTGGAAGGGCACGAACACGACCGTCCGCAACAACTACGGAGTCTACATCCACGACTCGACCATCAACGCCGCCAACGCCTCCATCGCAGAGCAAATCCAGGGGTCCTGCGCCCTAGGTAGGCCGTGGAACTCGCTGCACCGATCCATCTTCGCGAACACATACGAGGACGGGAGTATTGAGCCATCGGGGTACATTAACTGGGAGGATCGGTGGAGTAAGAACGAGACGCTCATGGCGGAGTATAGGGCCTATGGCCCGGGGTTCAATATCACGGGCAGGGAGGAGAGCGAGGTGAGTGTGTTGTTGAGTAGTAGTGAAGAGGAGAGGTATAGGGATCCCAAGAGGGTGTTTTTGTTTGAGGATGGGAGGGAGGGGAATGTGGCGTGGATTGATTGGGATGTTGTATCCTCTTAACAGTCCCTTGTAATCAATCTATGTATGTATGTACATATCACTCCCCCTTACCCCCCTTCACAAGACCATTCAATCTTCCCGTAAGAGCCAAATACGCCGCCCCCGTATCGGCCCACACCCTATACTCTTGCACTTTCCACTCCCCACCAGCATCACCATTACCACCACCACCATCCTGCACAATCCTCAACCTATACACGAACCCCTCATCCCAACCCATCTCTGTCTCTTTGGCAATGAATCTCGCCCACCCGCGGACACAAACACACCCTTTCTCCTCGTCAACCACCCAATCCTGCTCATCCTCGAATCGCATTCCCTCGTAGCGTAGCGCCGCGCCCATGGTCTCGAAGTAAGCTTTCACGCCGTCTTGGCCGGTGAAGTCGCGGCCTAGGAAGGGGGCCAGTTGGGGTAGGCCGGCTTCGTGGATTAATGGGGTGGTGTTGGGGGAGGAGGTAAATTGGGAGAGGATGGTGGAGAGGGGGGGTGGGGGGGATTGAGTTAGAGTATTTAGGAAGGTATGGGTGGTTTGTTTGAGGGTGCTTTTGGGGGGCATTTTGTGGCAATACAAGTGATAGATAGTGGTGTTGGAGTAGGGAATAGATATGTTGGGATGGTTCAATGTTTACTTGTAGGTAGGTAGGTGGTGGTGGTGGTGGTATAAAAAGGTATTGAATGACGTATGATCTATGACACATGACATAAACTGGATTGAAACCTCACAACCAACTCCTCGCCTATCACACCCAACACCATCGGGAAATACAAATTGAATGGATGAGTAAAAAACATGAATGAGTATAATCAAATCGATTGACAGACTGGGTCACTGCTTCCATGACTTGCCGCAGTTCATACACGTACAAAACAATGTCATCGGTTCATCTGCACTGCGCGTCTGCGCTTCCGTATATGTCACCTTGCGCTGTCCACACTTGCCGCATTGCAAGCTTGTACTGATACTCCGCTCCGCCTGTGCCACCATCGCCTTGTCCATGTTTTCCTTTTGGATTCTGCGGTCGCGTTCCTGCTGTTCCTCCGACCGGAGCTCGTCGTGCGACATCCGGACGAACCGTTCTGGCGTCACGTCGCCGTTGAGGACCCGCAGTCGCAGTGACGGGTTTGACTTGTTCTTCAGGTTCTGGTAGAGACTGCGGATCTTCGTGCGGTATTGTTCCTTCGTTTCCGGTCCGAGGTCGCTAAAGGCCGCCGCTTCGACGGCCGCCGCCTTAGACAGAACTGTGCGCGGGGGTTCAACCGAATTAAGACACAGCCCGTCGTACATCAAGCCGATGCAGCTGTCGCGGATTCTGTTGCCAGTCTGGTTGGTGTCCACGCCATCGGCCTTCCAGGTACGCTTGTCGGGGGGCACCGAGAGCTTCGAGGCCTTATCGGAGGGAGTCGCACCGCCGGAGGGGGTGCCGTTGGCTTTCGGGTGGGGAGAGCTGCTCGACCGTTGGCTGGCGCCGGGGGAGGCCCCGGCCTTTTGCTTGTTCACTTCGTGGCGCCACTTGGAGACGATTTCGCTCGCGAGACGGGCGACTTCGGGAGATTTATGTTGTTTGAGTTTGTTAACGGCGATACCGACACGGGTGGATCGCAGCAGGTCTTCAGTGGCTTTCACCCCTTGTTGCAGCTGCTTGAGCAGAGGTATGATGGTAGAGGGAGGTTCGTTGGAGGAGGCGGCCTTGGTCATGGCCTTGGCCCGGAGCTCGATTTCTTTGGCGTCCATAGACATGATGGATATATGAGAGTATAGGTGAAGAGATAGATATCGATTATATAGAGCTTATTGCGCCTTTGACGATTAGTATGATGTCTATGCGATCGTGGGCATAAGCGACATGTGTTGCGATAGCGAGTAACAGTATGTGCGACAGTACGCAGGAACAAACTCAAGCAGGGGTGGAGTCGGGACAGTTGTACGTGTGGGACAGTGCACGTGCAAATTCGCTGGCAAGTATATAGTTGACCGGCGATGCAGGGAATGCAAAAGAACCAAGCCACAAACAAGTGAAGCGGATGCGCCCGAAAGGAGAATCAAAAGGATGTGTTGAGATGATGGTGGACTCACTCTGTCGCACGAGCCGGTGGGATTCACCGTGCCGGGAATGGAGGAGAGGAGAGATGGATGAGGTTAAGATATTGTAAACTCTCGTATTAACTGAGAGGTGGATCTGGAGGGTTCTCGCAGCAGGGGAGATGCAGCGAATGAGAACCGGAAGAAGATGAGGTTGAGAAGATGATAGGATGACAGAAGAAGCCGTAGCAGAAAGGCAGTGGAGAGTTGCAGAAGAGAAGAAGAGAAGAAGAAAGCAGTAAAAGCAAGTCGCTTTCGCTGGAATTGCGATGGCGCCAAGCCCGGGGTTTCCTGATTGGGAATGGTGGGGGGAGGCCTGCGGTGGGAATAGCATCAACTTGCTGTCATCTTGACACTTATACAGTCTCGAAGACTCACAAGTGCCTCACTTCTGTGTCTTGCAGTTATACCCTGCAGAGTATTTCTTGATGGCATCTGTAATAGACATAGCATATCTCACCACTACCACAACATCTACAACACTACTATACTACAGCATACTACTACTTCTCTCAATCATCTCCAACACCCATCTCACCTCCTCCACCACTACATCCGGCTTCACCAAATGCACCTGATGTCCACAATCCACCTCCACCAACCTCGCTCTCCTAGACAGTCTCAATTGCTCCCTCTGCCACTCCCCCACCACCTCCTCACACTTCCCCAGGAACCTTCTAACCGCCTCCCTTTGCTCATCACTCCCATTCCCCATCTCTACCCCCCTCTCATAAACCCTCTGATAATCCTCCCATCCCCGTCCCACCACCACAGACAATGGTCTCTCCCCTAACCCTCCTCCCTGCACCTGTAACTGCCTCTTGCCCTCCAACTCCCTACAAACCCCCACCAGATTCTCCCTCTCAGCCCCCCACATCCCCATTCCCCGCGCAATATCCCTCGCTCGTTCTCTCCACTCCTCACGAGATAACTTAGCATTCTCACGTAACCCCGTCACCGTAGCGAAGTTCATCTCTCCCAGGACAGCAGCGATATCACCATTCAGGTTGGGATTATCTTCGAATAGCGTATACTGTTGCTCTGTTGATCCCTCGACGAGTACCATGCCGCTGATATCATCTGAGTAGAGGTGGAGGTACTCCCTCGCGATTATAGCGCCGTATGAGTGTCCCACTAGGACATATGGTGGCGGGAGATCTGCGTTGGTAAGTAGGGTATGCAGTTCTGATGCGGCGAGAGTCGCGCTGGGTTTGTAGCTGGTATCTTGGTCTGGAGCATCGCTGCGCCCGAGACCGGTGCGGTCGTAGACCAGACACGAGGCGAATGGGCTCAATAAGCGGATTACAGCGGTGTAGCTGGAAGAAACATCGCCGGCGCCGGCGAGGAAGATAGTGAGAGGCTGGGTGGTGCGGGGTGGGCCGTGCAGATGCAGGTACAGCTTGTGGGGGCCGATGGAGATGTGGGTGCCAGTGTAGAGGGGATTAGTTGACATGATGATGGTAGTAGTGTGTTGTGGAGGGAAGAAGCGGGAGTATGAGTGGATCATTAAAGGATGAGGCTTGCAGGGATCGTCACATGGTAGTTTGTTGGTTTGTTAGCTATTTTAATGTAGTCTAGCTGACAGACTAGATAGTTAAACATTGGCTAGTGCATCATTCCTCATTAGCTCCTATCATGTAATCATATGCTATCGACGCTCAGAGTGATTCGCAACAAAGTTCTAATGTCAGATTTGAGACCCCTTCGGACGCAAATCCACCGTCTCAAATTCCAATCCCTTCGCTTCAAATACATGTCCCGGCCGCAGTGCGTCGGTGTAGATGTTCGCCTCTCCGTGGGGATGGAAGAGTCCTGACTGCGTGCAGTTGAGCACCGTCTTCAGCCCCGGCGGATCCGTCAGTCGGAACACTCCCCAGTCTGGCGTCTTACTGGGCGCACACACGATCGCGATGCTCTCCGGTAGCATCACCTGGTATCCGCAGTGCGTGTGCAGGTCGCGCGAACTCATGAAGCACGTCTGCGTTGGGTGCGTGTGGATCCAGCCGAGCACCATCAGATCCTCTGAATCACAGTAGTCGAAGATGGCTGACTCGTTCACCGTCTCGCATGTGTCCGAAGTGGCAGTCTGTTCAGGGATGAGGAGCTTCGACACGAACAAGGCGTTGGAGACTAATGTGCCGCACAGAATGCCGCACGTCTCTAAATTGCGCTGTGTGTTCGGGGATACCAGTGAGATGAAGTGCTTGCGTAGATCAGGCGGCAGGAACAATGTCCGCAGAGGCGTTCCATTCTCAAGATAAGCAGAGGGCTTGAAGGTATAACTGGACGGCTCCAAATCCGGGCTTGCAGCTGGTCCATCGGTTGCTGGAACCTTTCCAGGAAGCGCAGGAGGCTCAGCTGGGATCCCTGCGGACGAGATCTTGTCTGAACGAGGTGGAGGTGAAGGTCCTTCGAGGCCAGCCAGTTCATGTACATACGATGCTTTCTTAGGAGGTAGTGCGGGTGCTTTAGGCGGAAGAACAATCTTAGGCTCGACCTTTGCGGTTGACGAAACTTCCAGCGGCTTCTGACGAGGGACGCTCGGATACTTGTATGCGCCGGTCGAAGAGGTTGCCGCAGATGGCCGAGCCATAGGCTTAGTAGCAACCTGTGGACGGTGATCCGCCCGCGGATCGTCCATCTGTATCCTCACGTTCTGTATGCGCCGGCTCAAGTCATCGTCCTCGGATCCATCTTTGCGCAGGGCATGCTCCCAGTCTCCCCACATGCCAGCTGCACGGCGAGTCTGCTCCTCCTCAGGTGTTATGCCTGCTTGTCGGATAGCCTTTCGGACAGTTGCTCGTCGACTAAGCTCCGTCCGAGCCAGCTGCACCGCCAGGTCTTTGTTCTCTCCTGCTTCCAGAGGTTCCACAACTCCTGCAAGGGCGGGGTCCTGAGGGGGTCGTTGGATTGAAGTGGGAGTGTTATTCGCGGCTGCTGGTGCGCGAGCTTGCCGTTCACGCATCAACTGAGTATAGCGCTCGTAGCGTTTGTTGATTCGGGGTTTCAGGACTTCCAGGACCTTCAGGTTCCGTTTGACCTCCTTTTCGGCTTCCACCAAAGCTTTCCGGTTTTTCTCATCCTTGGCCTCTGGGTGTTCGGCCAGATTGACGAGTACTAGCTGAGCATGGCGAAACAATAAAAGGTAGGCTTGTTCTTCGTGCTTTTCGCGTTCGTAAATGCGAGCCTAGCCACCAATCTCGTCAGGTCACTCCACCATAAGCAAGCAGGAGTATACCAACCTCTCTCATGAGTGTAGATGCAGTTCGCAGCCAGTAGCGTAAAGGTATAGACGGGTTATACTCATAATCCTGGGCCATGCGAGTGATCGATTCCACGCTCTGCGGAGACCCCGCACCGGTGGCTGGAGGTAGATGGGCGGCCATGACTGCGCATGAATCGATCTCACGGTCGATGATGAAGATTAAATCGAAGAGAATCAGCAGGCCTGTGGCAGCAGTGGCAGCAGTCGCAGTTCATTGACGTCTGGCGCGAGACCAGCGGCAGTCGTGGTGGGGGCGTGCCGCATGTAGATGATAGGCAGCAGAGTCAAGACACCGAATGATCGGGTGGTGTTCAGGCACAAGAAATGTGGAGCAGGCAATTTATAGCTTTAAATCAAGGTGCATCGTGTTTGCATTCCACCAACCGAGCGGGGTGGGCGATAGTTAGTCAGGTACAGGAGAAAGTGCAGAAGTTGGTTCTTTTAAGTTCGGCGGAGCTGCAAAGATGATCGGCCGGCGAGTCGCGCTGGTATTTGTTCCTCTCCATCTCTCGGCTTCCGCTCCACCTTCACTCCATTCTTCTCGTTCGGCCGCCCAACCATGACGCCGTCCGCCAGGATCCTCTTCCTCGAAAACCAGAAAGGCTGATCGCTCTGCATCCTGGTCTCGTCCGCAGACCTGGTGCCTTACAATGGCTCCACGAGCCTCAGCCCTCGCACGGTTTCCGCTTGCGAAATCCATCGCCAAGTGCTTCCCCGGCCACCTCAAGCGGAGAACCAACAGGAAACCGGAGATTGTCAGTGAGGAGCTATGTGGTGAGTGCAGCCGATATGTTCTTCCAGTATTTTCTAACGTCCTCGTAACACAGATCATGCTTTGCAGCGCCTATCTCCGTACCTCCTCCGCAATCGGCCGTTGGACATCCTCGACCTGTGGCCTGGAGCTGGCCTCTGGTCATCCAAGATCAACCACCTGCTCCAGCCGCGACGACATGTCCTCGTTGAACCCGAGCTGCAGAACTTCCGACCGCTGCTAGACCCGCTGGCCCAGAGCCATCCTTCCTACAAATTGTTGTCCATGGACGTCTTCTCCATCGGCGACTGGAAACCTGTGCTCACGGAGCATTTCCCGGAACAAGGGCCCGACAATGGTGATCATACCGGAGTTCTGCCAAAGAACGACACCCTTCTAGTACTCGCGAACCTTCCCGCCACGACCTCCGACAAAGACCATTTCACCGCAGGCAGATGGTGGCAGATGTTCATGGAGACCTGCATGCAGCAGACGGGACTACATTCTTACGGAGCTATCCGGTTACTGGCGTCTCTTCCATCGCCAGAATCACAGGCTATTATCCCCCGCTACGTGGTCGACCGCAGACGAGTGTCACTTTGGACGGAGAACGTCGCCCTCCATACCTTCGAAGTCGCCGCTCCTCAAGACGAGAAGTTCTGGGTTAACCACAAAGGGTTCAACGTCGCCATAGACAACGCCGCGCGTGTCGCCGAAAGAGCTGCCGAAAAGAACATCACCACACCCCCGGGGAGGGAATTTCAACCTCTCCTCCCAGCTCCGGAGAGCCCCGACCCCGGCCGGAAACCAGTGCCATACACACCACGCATAAGAACTGCCCTTCACGACAGATTCTGTGAAGACATCCAAGCCCTGGACAACATGGACAAATCCACCCCCGGCTACGCCGAAGCCAAGAAGAAGCGCAGTCGCGCGCAGACCCGACTCAACCGAGACAATCGACAAGCATACTTCCTCCAGCAAATGGTCGACCAGTCGCGCGAAATCGACGCCCAATACGACGCTCTATCCCGAGCAGCGGCCGACCCCAACACAACCTCCGCCGACTTCAAACCCATCCTCGACAAAATATCCGCCCTGCGAAGCTCCATCACCGACGAAGGCCAAGAGAACTACCACGACCATCTGAGACAATTTCCACACATCCACGACAGCTACCGCGCCTCCCTCCGCAGCAACAACAACTTCGACGACGCCCTCTTAGCCTGGGACCGCCGCCCCTTCGAGCCCCTCCTCATCCGCCCGGAAGAGCTCTACCCCCAAGGCATCGACCGCAGCATAGTCTACTTCGAACCGAACCCCAACTCCCCCGTTATTGAGAAAATCAACTCCCTCGACCCCTCCCAACGCGGCGACGCCTTCCGCCTCTTCGAAACCCTCTCCCTCTCCCTCGGCCGCGGCCGCGAAGCCCTCTCCGTCGCTGAAGTCCTCCAACTCATCTTCCCAGGCCGCTCCACCAACGACATCGTCAAATCTATCCCCAGTCTAGCCGAATATGCTGCGAAGACACCAAAACCGGACTTTGACAGTCTCCCGAAAACCATCCACGGAGGCACCGACCCGGTAACGAGTTTCCAGGAGAACCTGGACTACGACCTGAGCGATGTGCGCGTGCACATTCTCTCGACGTCGACAATCTGGGATATTTGCATCGAGTATCAGCGCAGCGGGGTCTCGGTGTCGAGTGTGCAGTTGAATCGGTTGTTCGGGGGGACGTTGACGTCGTATAAGACGGGAGTGCATCGCGAGATGGTGAAGAAGAGACTTCATTAGGAGATTGACTTTGGATGAGTAGATGGGTGTATTTGGATTTGATTATGAGATATGTATAACTAGCATGTACTGTAGTATTATATGATAGATGATAGACTCTTCTCCAATTGATAGAACATATACATAAACAACTAGGAGTGGAACTGTGTATGGTTCAGTAACATAACCTCAATCCAAACCGGAGTTGATTTCAATACAAGGAACTGGGAGTTAGTTCGACATCATAACTTACTTTTACAACGACTGACACCTTAAGTCGTTTATTTCGGCGTCTTAAAATCGAACATTTGCGGCAAGCTCTACCGTAGTGGAGTTAAATCACATGTGAGATGTTTGTATGGCTGAAACATCGAAAGGCTATCTGTGGTGGAAGTAGTAATAGGTATTTTTGATTGATACAAAGAGGTACTCATATCTAGATGAGCCATAGTTGGACCTGAATCAGGGGTTTGGAGAGCATATTGAATAGTAGGCGTGGTTACACATGGATCCACAAGTGAATTGAAATGCAAGTAGTTGTTGCTATTATTGGTACTTCATGTAGCTGGGAAGAATGATGGGAAGAATGAGTCATGCAAAAATGTAACTTGTTTCGTCTGCACATCTATTCTAACGGGTATCTTGAATGTTTCTGGTAGAAGTTGAACATAATAAGAAAAGAAAATAAAGAGAAAGAAAGAAAAAGTGCCAAGAAGATAAAGGTGATAGAAACCAGACAAAGTCTGACAAATGTGTAAAAGAAAGATTAGAAAAGAGGCTAGGTGAAGAAATGGCCAAAGTAGAAATGTCCGAAGATAACAAGAGATTAAAAGTAGTCCGAGATAAGGACGCGGGATGCGATAACGAAAGAAAGGCAACCATAGCCAAAGTTAGATCGTAATAGACTCGACCAGATTTACCCATTCAGCAGGTTTGATGCGCTGACTCGGGTCTTTGACAATTGCTGGTTTGATGATTTGTTCGACGATCCCGGTGCGCGGTATGCGAGATCCATTCGGCCCGGAGCGAGCAAACTCAATCACGCGGTGGCCTTCACGGGCCATGGCTAGACGCTGGAAGTGGTTGGCACCCGGGTAGAGGAGCAAATCGCCTGTAGCGGCAGCCAGTAGAGTAACGGCTAGAGAAAAGACATCAGACTCTGGGGTTGGCGCCACATCTGGGGATTTTAATGATGAGACGCATAGGAGCTCCGGGGCTGTGAATGGTGGTGTTAAAGCTGTTAGAGCCGTGCCCAGACCACTTTCGGGAGATGAAGAATTGCTGATAGGGTGAGCGGAGGAGAAATCGGCAAACAGCGGTTCGTAAGGGAAGTGGTCGGATTCCAAATCGTCGTCGCTTGAGCGTGCACGGAGCAAGATGTTGTGAGGCTTGATATCACCGTGTACCATCTGCGGCCCATCATGGAGCCAGCACAGTCCGGTGATGAGCTTCTTTGCGAGGTCATACCACTGGGTCATGCCTTGGATGGGCTCGAACATGGTTCTGGTGGTCTTGTTCTGCAGAGCCACAGCGGCTTTTTCTTCAATATAGGTCGAGAGCGCCAACGGCACTGCTGACATGACGATGGAGTGAGAGTCTGCGATATATCCTTTAAAGGGAACAACATGGTTCTGTGACCCGGCGACACGACTGACCCGAGTCAAGGCGAGCGCTTCGGCATCCAAGATGGAGTGCGCATCTCGCCTTGCGGGTGACTTGACTGCTACCGTGCGGGCTTTGACAGCTGGAGAGCTGGGAGGCGTAAGCAGGTAGGGCTTGGAGGGTTCGCAAGGAGTTGCTTTGTAGACAACGCTCCAGAGACCACGGCCATATTCGACAGGCCGGCCTTTGGGGTCCTTGTGGTATTCCAACTCATCCGTGAATGAGTCAGAGGTAGACACCGTGCGAGCTTCCGCATCGACATCCTTGAATTTCCCCTCGACAGGCGACAAGTATGGACTGGAAGCCCCAGAATGGAGGGTGGCAACGCTGCCTGAAAGACTCTCGTCATCTACAGTAGGAGTCACCGGAGGAGTCAGTCCGGGTACCACTAGAAGAGGCGGCGCGCGAGCATCGGTATCATGTTGAGTGCGAACAGAGAGCGGGAACGGCAAATGCGTAGGAGTCATGATGGACAACTCTGAAGAAGTAAATGCCTCTGTGAAGATCGCAAGAGGCGGGGATAGCGGGGAAGGCGACAGTTGAAATCGGTGCGACGGTTTGGTTTCAGCGCCGATAGGACCAGGGATCTCCGGTCAAGAGGCGCGATAAGAAAACACCGCGTATCTATACTGGCCTGGCGCGAATACGAGTTGAATCACTAGATTGTCTGCCGGTGTCGCTGGATTTCCGAGGACCTTGAATAAGATTTAAAGAAGCAATAGCAGCGGGCATATAGCCAATGACGAGGCAATTGGTGGCAAGCCGGTTGGATGACGTCGGCACCGGGATTCGAGTCCGTCTGGCGCTTAAGACTGACTATTGATGGGCCAAGGTGCAGGAAGATGAATAGGACAAGAGACAACGGACTGATGAGGACTGCAACATATACATGGTCTAGAATAGCAGAACAGAAGGATAGAAGCAGAGTGAAAGTAGAAATCAACACCAAGCAGGGAGAAGAAAAATTTGAGGAGGCGACGAGTCTCGACCCGATGGATTTGGAAAATGCAAATTAATTAATTTTCACAAAGAGAGGGAGTAACTGGATAGATCGACAGAAAGAGCGATAGCTTAATTGTGCCCGAGGAACCATGGGTGATTACAGCAAACCGTCGCAAGTAACCGTGACATGCCAAATAGATAGTTCAGTTCCACCCACCGGGGCGAGTCTGGCCTGGCGGGGAGACCATCTTCGTAGTCCCACTGACATGCTCGGAGCAGCATCGGTCCTTTTCGGGTGTGTATTTTCTATTTCTATTTCGAGGCAGCATGTTGAAATTAGGAGATAAAACGGGGAAAGCAAGCCGGGGTAAGGTTTGATGAGCAAGAAAGCCGCAGTAACCACCGGGAGAAGTGAGAGCCATGAAATGCGATTGCAAGAAAAGAGGAAAAAGCGAGACTGAATGGAATTGCGACTTTCGCGTTTCTCCTCCATTTGCACGGACACTATCCCCGATTGGGCACTAGTCTCCCGTCGTTCGTTGTCCGGTTATCCCAATACGGCAAGCCGGTGGGTCTCACTGGCCCCTCAACCCTCGAATTTCGTGCAGTTTTCTACTTGTTAGTCGACTTAGTCTCCTTCTCACCCAGTCATTCGGGCACAAACGGCTGTCACCCTCGCATTCTCGCCCTGGATGGCCGTCGCAAAGGGTGAATGAATAACCATAATCCCATCCTTGTTTTGTGGTGTCTCCACCCCCTAAAAAAAAGATGACGAAGACCGTGAAAAGTGTGACACACTATGCTGCAGGGATGACCATCTCGAGGTCATCAAATTCCATTACTTCACGCGCGTCGTGGCGTCTGCTGGATACTGCAGGGAATATACAGTAGATAATACATACATTGTGGTCGTGGTCTCTCGGCCAGCCCGAGACTAGTCGATCTTATCGTAACATCCCGACTGAAGGAGAAAGGAAAGTAGTACTCCGTACATGGGTATATGCAGACCATGGCTCATCCTGCCTGCGGTAGTCCTGCAGGCGCCCTCTTCTTTCTGTGTGGATGTATCAAACGGTAGTATAGCGGCCCCGTTTCAATCTGGCGAGGGTCCCATCGCATACTCCAGATCAGGAAGGATGAACGAAAATTCGAACCTTCGACTGTGGCTGCTTGAAAGGGGGAAAGACGAGGACGAACCCAAAAAAGGCCTGTTCAGGAAGAATGGATCAAGAGACAGCCGAGGACGTAACCCTCGGACGGGGCCTCAGCCAATCTCCACCCCCACGTGGGTCATGGTCTGCCAGGGAAATTGCCTGCCATTGAGACGCTCTTCTAATCTCCACTTTGCATCCGACCTCCTACCAAACTCAGTCTTTCTCAAATAGTAGTAGTTTCAGTTACTGTCACATCAGGTGCATGACCCTCCTCCCACTTGCCATCGTAAGCCTCGCATATAACTACTCAACTAGGGCCATCCTAGTAGCGTGGAGTCATCCTCTGTTCTTCCGCGACTCCTGGAATTCCCTCCTTTCCGAAGTGCTGACACTGGCACGTCTCTCAGCTCCACCATCTACTGCAAGTCGGGAACAAAGCCTGGAAATCTGATATCTCACTTCACCATACGGGATCAAAGGAACGGTTCCCGACGCAATGACCTGGCACGGAACCGGTGGATGACTCTGGAATAGCACACATCGCCGTGCCAAGCGCGCACGGGGCCGACGCTAGTTGTGGCTGTAAGGCTGTCTCGGAATCCCGTACTGTAGTATTTGATCACATCCAGCAGGGACCTTGAGAGTTCGAAAACAATATTATAGAGTACGGAGTAGAGAGTTTAGATACGTATCCAAGGATATCATCCAATTTACCCAGCATGCAACAATCCCTACCCAACCACTCTCAGCAAGGAGCCATCCATTTAAGCTCGTATAATTACTAGTTATGTACAAAGTAAAGGGGCAGTAGACCCTAGCCTGCTGGCTCATCTTATTCCCGCGTCTTCCTCTGCTTCTCAACATACTCCTTGAGATCCTGCAACCACACCTCAAAGTTTACTTCCAGCTGAGCCCCCACCATCCAGCGAACCACATACGCCAGGGCTCCATTCTGCGCTTCCCAGTTACGCACTTCTGTTCCCTTTCTCATCTGTCCCTGTTCGCCCTGGATATCAACCTCCACGAATTCATGGACCCGTTCCGCCGCCAACAGTGAGGACATAATGCGACCCTGCGCCTGTGCATCAAGAACCCAAACAATGCGACCGTATTTCTTGCTCTCGCTGGGCGGATCACACTCTGTCACGACCAATGGAGTATCATTGCTCGCCTGTGCACGCTGTGGCTGGGACGAGGTGGTCGGCTTCATGTTCACGTGATAAGTCATCTTCGTCCCGGCCTGAAGGACGGAGGAGAGATTGCCCCCTTCGCATCCGGGCTGCTCTCGGATAGTCACGGCAGGGACGAATCTGTTCCAGGAGGGAAATGTAGAGGTGTCCATTAGAGTATCCCAGACTTCTTGCAGTGGAGCATCGATTATTGCGGCGCTCTGGCAGTGGCCGACAGCTTCGGATGCAGGGATATTGGGTGTCGGCATTGTTGCGAGCGCCGACTTGGGCGTGGGGGCGGTCATTTTGAAAGAGCTAATTTGTAGGATATAGTTGTGAAGTAGATGTAGAGAAAGACTAATATGTCACACGCGATAGTAGAGAAATAGCTAGCTAACTGTCTAGCAAGAAGCTATGACACTGACAGGAGAAGTTTCGCTCTGGAATCCCGGCTCCACCCCCATGTGACCCCGGATAAACACTTGCACGGCACCATCACATCCCTGCAGCATACCAGCTCTCACTTTGATTGACATCGGCAGTCAATCTATTTCTTTGTCTATTTTATCAATTCTTGTTGTACTCATCACGTACACTTCTCTCATCATGAACATCCGGGGAAGCAGGAAGCTAGCTACCTTGGCCGTCTCTGGGCAGCTCTCCACACTTGGCTAACTGTCACAATTTCTCCACCAATGCCAGTCTAATGCGCTGCTGTCTTGGTTGATCTATACGCCGATCAGGTCCCGCGCATACTCTATTTGCGGCCTCTTCAGGAAATTTCCCGGTTAATGGATCTAAGAAACATGCAAATTTCCGAACGCTTGTCATGTTTCATGGCATAGCAGTTGAGGACCTGGACCTCGGGAGAAGAACATCATGTTGGGATATAAGTAAGGGTGAGTATGCGAATGCTACTGGCTAATTAGTGGGTCATTGTCTACTCACGCATCGTCATGTCTGTTTTCAAGGCATCGCTCCTATTTCTTCTTTCTTCCTCACTAGTCCACGGGGTTCCGCACTCCAACAGAGCATCTCGAAGCCAACAATGCGTGGTTCCGTCTAAATACCAGGCATCAAATGGAACGGCTGATGACTCGTCTGCCGTCTCCCAGGCTTTTGCACAATGCGCAACTGACTCGGTGATCATATTCGAGGAGGGTGTGAATTATAATGTCTTCCAGCCGATCACTGCCACCAACCTCAGTAATGTGGAGATCCGGATGCATGGCAATTTACATCTGCCACAGAACATCACTGCCGTGCAGAATATCGTCAGTGACGGTAGCTCTACATGGTTCACCTTGGAAGGGCCCAAGGTGGACTGGACTGGTCCCGAAGACGTGAATAATGGCTGGATCGACTCGTATGGACAGCCCTGGTGGGATGCGAACCCTGCAGGTAGTTCAGGCATCGACAATCGTCCGCATCTCATGAGCTTCAAGACTAGCCAAGCGACCATAAAATACTTCAGGTCCAGGAAGCCTATCGCCTGGAATGTCAAGCTGCATGGACAAGACATTACAGTTAGCCATGCCATCATCGATGCTACCTCGACAGGTAGCTTTCCTTTCAACACAGATGGCTTCGATGTGGAGGGGACCAATATCCAGATTACCGACAGTATCATGTACAACGGCGACGACGCGATTGCAGTAGGTGCGGACTCGCACGATATTCTCTTCACAAGAAACACCATCGGCTACCAGACTCATGGCATGAGCATCGGATCACTGGGGAAAGATCCCACAGACTTTGCCAACATCAGCAACATCCGCTTTGACGATGTGACTGTCGTCGATGGCCTCTACGCCGCACGCTTCAAGTCATGGAGCGGAGGTACCGGACTCGTCAAGAATGTGACCTGGAATAACATTAGAGTCTTCAACGTGACGTTCCCTATCTTTGTCACTCAAAGCTACAGCGACCAAGGCGCCTCCCGGTCCGGGACTGTCAATGCCAGTTCAGCTGTGATGATGGAGGATTTCACCTGGTCTGACTTTTCTGGCTCGATCAATACGTATCAACCTGGTGACGGCTCTTGCGTCTCCGACCCTTGCTGGTACAACGTTGGGCTGCCAAATCTGAAGCATACCGAGGCTCTGATTATTGAGTGCCATACGGCGCAGTCTTGTAAGAACTTTGTCACGGACAACATTCAACTATACCCGCAAGTTCTGGAACCGGCGAGTGTGATCTGCATGAACGCAACGGCAGCCCTTAATCCTGATCTTGGGTTTACCTGTAAAAACGGGACCTACAGCCCGCTATCGACTTGATCGAAGTAGTGTGAAAATTCTAAGGAAGCCACACCCGACACATCAGCTTCCGGAAAGCACACCCAAACTAAGCATATACAATAATCAATCAAAACAACCCCACTACTGTACTCTTCTCTCACTAAGTATCTTCATCGATACACCATCCACTCGTTTGATAACCAAGATCTGCATATCACTACATTCATACCACGCATGTCCCACCCTATCAACAAATTCCAACCATTCCCCAACTTCTATGTCTACCGACCAGGTTACATGGTAGTACCTCTGATTCCCCTCGATGAGCTACCTTCCTGGATCCAAGTCGGCGATTTTGACTGGGGCGATAGCTCGCTCTACGAGACTATGCTTCCCGCTAGCTTTAACTGGTTCCCGAGAATAGGTGAATACGATGTTATATGCCATCATTGCTACAAGAACGTCGATAGCTACCACCGCAGCGTGTCTGAGAGAAGTGATAGCAATGCTTCTTCTCGGGCTTCTGATCTTCCCAAGGGGCCTGCTGCTCAATTGCCTGCGAATTCTATCTTGTTGGATCCATCCTTTAAGCTTGAGCAGCCGCCGTTTGGGGCAGGCTTGAATGTTAGCCCGTTTGTTGGACTGTGCTTCTCTTCTCGGAAAAGACTGTGTGAGCTCTTGTGCCCATGTCTTCGGTGTACTCAGAACGGCCAGAATCCGCAGGACGGCCAGGATCAGCAGAATGACCAGAACCAGCAGAATGAACACTTTGAACACTCTGAACACTCTGAACACTCTGAACACTCTGAACACTCTGAACACTCTGAACA